ATTGGATCTATAGTTAGGTTCAACTAAGTGCGCTCAGAGGCCTCCTCTGAAGCAGAGATTCTGTGGTTCTATGATGCAGCCCACTCACCCATGTTCCGTCTGTCCTCTGGGACCAACCAAAATAGGGTCCCTTTTTTTTGCCTCTCTCATCCACACCTCATCCACATCATCCATATGCAGCTGTGTATTTTATTACCGCTCAGCCTGAATTCCTCCCTGGCCTCTTGGCTAGTATAGCACACCCCGTTGTCTTTACAGGCGTGCTGTTATGCATACTAATGGGTGGCTTGTCCCATTCAATGGATACTTGGCTTGTCTGGAGTGTCTCACAATAAGTTCTGCCAATAGCGAGGAAGCAGTGGGTTTTGTAATCATAGTAATAGATGACATTTTCATAGTACTTTATAGGTTGTTGTTCAGTCATTTTTCAGTCATATCTGACTCTTCATGACCCCATTTGGGGTTTTCTTGGCAGAGATATTGGAAATATTGGCTTGCCATTTCCTTCTCCAGCTCATTTTATAAGTGAGGAAACAGAGACAAACAAGGTTCAGTGAATTGCCCAGAGTCACACAGCTAGTAAGTGTCCGAAGCCAGATTTGAACTCAGAAAGATGAGTCTTCCTGACTCCAGGCCCAGCTCTCTATCCACTGCTGCCACCTAGGTTAGGAAGCACTTTATATGCACAAACTCATCTGAACCGCATAACAGCACTGTAAGGTATAGGTACTACAGCTATTGTGCTTTACCTCTAAAAAAAAAAAAAAGACGTTCTCTGGCCATCATCATTTGTTTCAGGGTATTAACCAAGAAACCAAGAAATGCTTTGTACAAATCTGCCAAGCCTCAGCCATGTTCAGGACCTTGTAGTAGTTGCTGCAGAACATATACTCAGTCAGCCAGCATTTATTAAGCATGTATTATGTACCAGGCACTGTGCTAAATATGAATTGGTCCTAGGCCATGGAAGAGCTCAAAAAGGATTTTGAGAAGCAAGTAAGAGAAGTAGAGGAAAAACTGAGAGTGATGCTAAAGGAGACTAAAAAAAACTACTGAAGAAAATAATACCTTAAAAAATAGCCTAACCCAACTGGCAAAAGAGGTCCAAAAAGCCAGTGAGGAGAAGAATGCCCTTAAAAGCAAAACTGGCCAAATGGAAAAGGAAGTCCAAAAGCTTACTGAAGAAAATACTTCCTTAAAAATTGGAATGGAGCAATTGGAAGCTAGCAACTATATGAGAAATCAAGGCACCATAAAACTAATCCAAAAGAATGGAAAATTAGAAGAGAATGTGAAATAGTTCATTGGAAAAACAACTGACCTGGAAAATAGATCCAGGAGAAAGAACTTAAAAATCATTGGACTATCTGAAAGCCACGAAAAAAAAAGAGCCTAGACATCATCTTTCAAGAAATTATCAAGGAAAACTGCCCCAATATTTTAGAACCAGAAGGCAAAATAGAAATGGAAAGAATCCACCAATCTCCTCCTGAAAGAGATCCCCAAAGGAAAACTCCTAGGAATATTGTAGCCAAATCCCAGAATTCCCAGGTCAAGGAGAAAATATTGCAAGCAGCCAGAAAGAAACAATTCAAGTATTGTGGAAACACAATCAAGATAACACAAGATTTAGCAGCCTCTGCATTAAGGGACTGGAGGGCATGGAGTATGATATTCCAGAGGGCAAAAGAGATAGGATTACAACCAAGAATCACTTACCCAGCAAAACTGAGTATAATCCTTCAGGGGGAAAATGGTAATTCAATGAAATAGGGGACTTTCAAGCATTCCTGAGGAAAAGACCAGAGCTGAATGTAAAATTTGACTTTCAAATACAAGACTCAAGTGAAACAGGGAAGAGGTAAACAGGAAAGAGAAATCATAAGAGACTTATTAAGGTTGAACTGTTTACATTCCTGCAGGGAAAGATGATATTTGTAACTCATGAGTCCTTTGTCACTATTAGGGTAGTGGGAGGGGAAAAAATCATATGTATGTATAGATAGATAGCTAGATAGCTAGAGGGCTCAGGGTGAGTTGAAGATGAAGGGATGATATCTGGAAAATAAAATTAAGGGGTGAAAGAGGATTATACTGGGAGAAGGAGAAAGGGAGAAGTAGAATAGGGTAAATTATCTCACAAAAAAAAAACAGAAAAGAAAAGGCTCTTACAGTGGAGGGGAAACAGGGGAAGGTGAGAGGGAATGAGTGAATCTTATTCTCATAGGATTTGGCTTAAGGAGGGAATAACATACACAATGGGGTATGGAAATCGATCTTACCCTACAGGAAAATAAGGGGGGGAGGGGACAAGAGAGCAGGGGGTTGATAGATGGAAGGGCAGATTGGGAGAGGGGATAATCAGAAGCAAACACTTCTGAGGAGGGGCCGGGTCAAAAGAGAGAATAGAATAAATGGGGGGTAGGATAGGATGAAGGGAAATATACTTAGTTTTTCACAACATGATTACTATGGAAGTGTTTTGCATGACTACACATCTATAACCTGTATTGAGATGCTTGCCTTTTCAATGAGGGTGGGTGGGGAGGGAGGAGGGGAGAAAATTTGTAACTCAAAGTTTTAAAAATACACGTTAAAATAAAAAAAAATTTTTTGAAAAGAATATAACCAGTAAAAAAAAAAGAAAGTTATGAGAGAGCTCAGAGATCCAAAGCTGGCTGTCCTACTACATGCTATCATGGCAGGATAAGAGGAAGTGGATTATATGACAGAGTCCACGCAAGAGAATCCAGATGAACACTAAATAGTGTCAGAAGACTTGGGTTTAAATACCAACTTTGATGCTTCCTAGTTGTGAGATGTAGGGTGAGTCACTTCTCTCTTCCCTTCATCTATAAAATGAGGATGTCAGATTAGGGCTTTTACTGACAGTTTTTTATAGCAAGATGAGGGTGATTTTATTGATTAGATCAGGTGCTGATTCTTACTTGCCTCAGATTTTCCATGGAGCATTGGACATCTCACAATTTTACCATACAGACAATTTCCACATGCAAAATGGGGATAATCCTATCTTCTTCCTCCTATCTTATAGACTATTGTAAGGATCAAGATGAAATGATAGAGGAGAAATGCTCCGTAACCCCTGTCACTATTGAAGTAAGGGATTGCTTTTTATGATTAGTTGCCTATGGCTTTTCCACATGTGACTCCTGGGCTGCCATGCGGAGAACACATTTTGCCCCAAACTTGGAGGCTCTGACAGGATCCTGGCCTCCTTTGTACTTATGACCCCAGAAACTCTTCTCCCCTCATCCTGTGCCCTGACTGTTTAATGATTTTTCATGCTTCAGCAGCCTGGTGCTCCCAGCTGATCACAATGTTGGGCAAGGATTTCAAGGCAAGATTGTTCTCATTCTCCACGGTGAGATGTTTCACGCTCTAGTCTCTCCTGTCACCCTGATGAGGAGCTGCCTGAAGAGAAATACATTAGTTCTTCAGAGCATACTTCGAAAAGCTTTTTTCTTTTGTATGAAGGGGGTTTTGACCCTTTTCTGGGGTTAGGTTGATTTCTTCAAGTATGTGTGTGTGTGTCTGTGTCTGTGTCTGTGTCTAAGAATGCCCCTGCCTATGATTATTAAGGAATCAGAGAATCATAGAACTTTAGATTTGGCAGCGACTTTTAGAGTCTCTCTTATCCAACTAGTATTTGAACAGGAATCCCCTCTGCACTTCTCCTTACATGTAGTCATTCATTCTACACTTGATAAAGAACTTACCACCTCCCATGTTGGGAAGCTCACAACGGAACCCATTCTGTTTTGGGCTAGCTCTGAACTTCTATGGGCTACGCTACACAATTTATCACTTTGGTCACTTTATTACATTGTCTTATGTTGTTTGCTGTTACTTGTGTATGTTAATCTTGTTTCCCTTGAGTTTCTAGAATATCTTCACCCCTTTGCTCTTCATTGAAGTTCAGCTTAGTACCACAGAATATCAGGGCTGTAAGGGAGCTTAGGATCCTAACATATAGATTGTTTTTTTTTAAATAGTATTTTATTTTTTTCCAATTACATGTAAAGACAATTTTCCCCAACATTTTTTAAATGTTTTTATTTAAAGCTTTGAGTTCCAAATCCTATCCCTTTCTCCCTCCATCCACTTCTCCCTCCCTGAGATGGTAAACAATCAGATATAGATTATACATGTGAAATTATGTAAAACATTTCCATATTAGTCATTTTGTACAAGAAGACTTGAATAAAAGAAAGAAAATGAAAAATAGCGTGCTTCGGCCTCTATTCAATCAGTTATCAGTTCTTTGTCTGGAGGTAAGCAGTATGCTTCATCATTAGTCCTTTGGGCTTGTCTTGAATCATTGTATTGCTAAGAATAGCCAAGTCATTCACGGTTCTTCATTGAACAATATTGCTGTTAGTGTGTATAACATTCTCCTGGTTCTGTTCTCTTCAGCGTGCATCATTCTGTGTAAGTCATTCCAGGTTTCTCTGAAATCATCCTGTTTTACATTTCTTACGGCACAATAATATTCCATTACAATCCTAAAGACAATTTTAAATATTCATTTAAAAATTTTTTTGAGTTCCAATTTTTCTCCCTCCCTCCCCTCCCACTTCCTAAAATAGTAAGCAATTTGATATAGGTTATATGTAACACATAGATTATTAGAGCTGGTCCAACTCTCCTTCTGACTTTCCTACCAGCTCTTCCTGGTTCCATGCCCAGACTCCCATCCTATGTACCATGCCACTTCTCAACTACAACTTGAGATATGTAGGTTAGACATAAGAATGAACTTACTGAAGTGGGGTGAGATACTGAAATGGTGACTGAGGGTAGCCTTGGAACCTGCTTCAGACAAATAGAATTGATTTTCCTCCAACTGAGAGGTCCTCCCAGCAGGCTGGGGGATGGAGAAGGTCACCTCTTCAGCTGTAGGAGATCTTCTTTGACTTCAAGCCTTGGTGCTGCTGCACTGGGGAAGCCTTCTCATGGCCCCTTCTATGTGTTGGCAGGAGGGCTCCTCCAGGAAAGTGTCAGATCAAAGCCGCCCCCGTGAAAGTGAAGAGCCGAATCATCAGCTTTGAACCTAAGGAGAGTAAGTCTTGCTGCTTCTTCTGTGTTTGGCATGCAGACCCCAGAGTCTTGGGAATCCAAGCTGGGTAGGAGGATCTATACTGAGCTCCTTATCTTCCAGGAGAGGAAACCGAGGGTGACTTGCCCAAGATCATAAATACCAGAGCCTGGATTCAAATCCCAGTACTCTGGGTCCGAAGCCACTGCTCTCTTATTAAAACCTGCTATTCCTTGGAGATGGGCACCTCTCAGCCTTTGAGATGGATGTGGGAGGCTTCTGGGGTTGGGTTCAACATCATAGGACCCCATAAGGCATAGCAACTTTGGCACCATGACCGACATGGGTAGCATAAAAAACATGGGGCAGCTTTTTATTTCCCAGACTGATCCTGGCTTTCCTAGCCAGTTCTGGGCTTTCTGCTTCCAACCAACCTGGCAATCCAAGGAGATAAATGAGAGGGAAGCAGCTGAGTTGCTCAGTCACTAAGTATTTCTTGACCAGTTGCCATGGGCAAACCATGGTGGGAGAGCTAAAGAAGAGGGAAAATGTTTTATTTTTATAAGACTTTAATGTTTACATGGGGCAGCTAAGTGGCACAATGATTGGAGCGTGGGGTCCAAAGTCAGGAAGACTCCTCTTCCTGAGTTCAAATCTGGTCTCAGACACTTACTAGCTGTGTGACCCTGGACAAGTCACTTAACCTTGTTTGCCTCAGTTTCTTCATCTGCAAAATGAGCTGAGGAAGGAAATGGCAAACCACTCCAGTATCTTTGCCAAGAAAACCTCAAAGGGAGTCACAAAGAATAGGACATGACTAAAACAACTGAACAACAACAAAATGTTTACAAAGCTCTTTCCTTGTAACCACTTTGTGAACTAGATAATACAAAGATTATTCCATTTTATAGATGAGAAAACTGAAGTTTAAATTGGCAAAGTGACCTGCCACAAATACAAGAGCGAGACAGTCCCTAACTTCAAGGAGCTTGTTTCTTACAGGAGCTAGGTAGGATAAAATGGGTGGATGGTTGGATGCAACATGTTTACAGAAAATACATCTACAAAATAAACAGGGTCACTAACATTTGGGACAATTAGGAAAGGCCTCTTGAGGGAGGGCCCTTGAAAAGACCCTTGGAAATACCCAGGAGTTCCAAGAGATAGAGACGGCATTCCAGATGTGGGGGAAAGTCTGTGCAAAAGTATGGAGGTGAAAGATAGAATGTCATTTTTGTAGAACTGCAAATAGGTAGTTTGGTTTGGAGAGTTTGTAAGGGGAAACCTACTACCTCATCTTCAGGAAGGCTTCCCTCACCATTCTTAATTCCAGTGCCTTCCCTAGTAATGTGTAGTCAGACTGGAAAGCTACGCTGGAGCTAGATTATGAATGAATGAATGAATGAATGAAACACTTGTTGTTTACTATGTGCAAAGCACTGTGTTAAGTGCTAGGGATATAAATAGAAAAGTTAGGCAGCCCATCCTCTCAAAGAGCTCACGTTCTAAGGACAGAGACAACACATAGGAGCTTTTTGCTGCAAGTCAGACAGAAAAGTAGTCCTTAGGATGCACAGCAAAGCAGATGGTAATATATCTTCTCTGTTGTCAGTGCCATTGATAAAACTACATCCTTTGAACCATCTGATGGTGCAAGGGACTTTGATTGTGAGAACTTTTTTTTTTCTGAATGGCTTTACATGACAAACAAGAATGTGCATACCCTAAAGGGTATGGGGAACCAATGAAGAGTCTCTCAAGTATGATCTGATCTGTGCTTTAGGAATGTCAATTTGTCAGTCACTCAATAAACAGTTATTAAGGGCCTACTATGTGCCAGGCGCTGTGCTAAGCACTGAGGATACAAAAAGATGCAAAAGACGGTCTCTGCCCTCAAGGATTTAACAATCTAATGGGAGAGACAACAAGCAAAGAAATGTGTACAAGTCAGCCATATACCGGATAAATAAGATATAATTAAAAGAGGGAAGGCACTAGAACTAAGAGGGATTGGGAAAAGCTTCCTGGTAAAGATGGAATTTTAATTGGGACCTAAAGAAGCCAGTAGGCAGAGATGAATTTGACAACTGTGTGGAAAATAGATTGGAGAGGGGAGACATTGGGCATAGGGGGTTGTTGTGATGCTCAAATGAAATTTATACATACATGCAGACACACACACACAAATATACACATACATACACACATATATAATGTATATTATATATTTATTTTATATTATATATTTATAGAAATGTATATTTATATAAAATCAATTTGCAAACCTTAAAACAACGCATCAGCGTCAGTTTTTATTTTTATTATAAATATTATTCCCACTCCCTGTGCTGTCTTTCCCTGACCAGGTGAAGAAGGGCCCTGAGAGGGTGCATTGAATAAAAGGATATATCTGTAGGATCATAGATTTAGAGCTAGAAGACATGTCAGAGCTCAGTGAATTCCAACACCCTGCTCTCCCTCATTTACAGATGAGAAAACTGAGGGACAGAAGGGCTTAGTGACTTGCGCAGGGTCACACAGTTGCTAAGTGTCTGAGGCAGGAACTGAATTCGTCTTCCTCCAAGTCCAGGGAACTACACCAACTATCGGTCCTTGAACTTTTTGGTCTCAGGACCCCTTTACATGCTTAAAAAACGAGAACTCCCCCAAAGAGCTTTTGTTTATGTGGGTTATATCTATCAATAGTTAACTGTATTAGAAATAGAAATGTCTTCATTTTACTATGAAAATAGTTTTAACCTTGAAGAACTCCAGACCACATTTTGAGAACCATGCTGCCTCTCTGGTGGGTGGGGAGAAATGAGTAAATTCCCTTCCCTGTAATCCTTAAACATATTACATGGTCCCTTTATCCATCCTAAGGACTCCTTTCTCTTACCCTCTATTTTGGAAGCACCTGTGTAGTAGATAAAAGAGTCCTGTAAAAATGGGGATCATTCTACCTAGCTATACTACCTGCTTCCTGTGGTTGCCAGGAGGAAAGTGATTTTAAACTTTAAAGCACTCTAGGAAGGTGAGTAATTATTATAGTCCCAGTCATTTCTTAACTATCTGGGTAACCTTGGACAAGTGTGTTCCCTTGTCTAGATCTGTTTTTTCATGTCTAAAAGCAGGAGGGGGCTTTGTTAAATGCTCCCTAGAGTTTTTTCCACTTTTAAACTCCAAGGTTTTGACTTCTCTGGTGCCATGAGCTAGTTGTTGACATGTGCAGGACTAAGAAATGTGACCTCCTGACTCTTTGACTAGAGCTGTTTCCTCCACACCAGGCTGACCCCAGAGCCATGAAGGGTTGTCAGAAATCGAAATCTTTGCTGTCCTATGGAATTTCAAAGCTGTCTGGGGCAGGGGCAGTCGGGGGCAGGGAAGGCACAGAAAGGAAGTCCTCTCTGTTGACTGGGTTGTCATGGCAACCTGAGCTTCTCTCACACATTCCAGTGAAGGAGAAGGCCATGGGGAGAGATGCATTTGGGGTGCTTTTGAGTCTAGTACCTGGGAACAGGGAAATCAGGGAAAAGGAAGGGCTGTTCAGTTAGCAGAAGAGAGAAGATTAAAAAGTAATAGCATGGGCAGTATAGCTCAAGTGAAGGTGGAGGGCAGGGCAGGACAGGGAGAGTCAGATGCATTTTTTGTTGGCTGGCAGCGACCCTTGTCCTTCAGCTTGACTTTGTTTCCAGTCTTACCCTATCCCAACATAGGGAAAGAAGCAGGGAAAATGGGAGCAAAGTCTGCTGTCTCTTAGCTCCCCCTTGCTTGGCCTCAGGGAGGCCCTGTTTTCCCTTTCTGTTGGGGCGGTCCTGCCAGTGGATTTCTGAAGTTGTGGAGAAATGACGTGAGATTTCCTGGATATGGGCTAGCACACTATTATTACTCATCCTTCAGAACCCAGCTCAGACCCTTCTTCTTCAGTGAGGTTGCCACAGATACCCCCAACTGGAACGGATCCCTTCTAGCCCTGACCCCTTTATTCTTTTAAAACAATGTATTGATATCTTTTATTTTTTACATCAGGACATTTTCCTGATGTAGCTAGGTGGCTCAGTGGATAGAGTGTTGGGCCTAAAGCCAGGAATACTCATCTTCATGAATTCAAATCTGGCCTCAGACACTTTCTAGCCTTGTGACCCAAGGCAAGTCGTTTAACCCTGTTTGCCTCAGTTTCTTCATCTGCAAAATGAGCTAGAGAATAAAATGGCAAATCCCTAGTATCTTTGTCAAAAACAAACAAACAAACAAACAAAAACAAATGGGGTCAGGAAAACTGAGACCCAACTGAATATCAAATTTTCCCTTTGCCTTTCCCATTTTCCCCAATACCCCAAGATCACTGACAGAGGCTCCTCAATCCCATCTGCTAATTCTTTCAATACCCTAGGATTTCATTCATCCAAATCTGTTAACCTGGAATAACTGAGGGCAGCTCAGTGCTGTGTCACTGCCTTAGTTTTCCACTCCCTCTAATTATTGTCTTGCTCACGCTCCAGTCAGCATAGTAGCCCCAGTTACAGTATGATGGGTTAGCACACACACCGGTCCAGAGCTGCAGATTCTCACTAGATTTTTCTTCTGCTTGCAGAAGACTTGGAGGAGGAAAGGCTAATCTCCTTCTAAGGGCAACTGGCTACTTCCTTTAGCTCCCCAGATCAAGTGCCCTGCCTGTCTGAGCCTAGCGACACTGGTATCCTTGAGTCCATCCTTCCCTTTCCTCCCCTTCCCCCAACATGTACCCTCTGCCTTGATTCTCTATCTAAAGCTGTGCTTGAGTTCTGGTTTAGGGCAGTGGCTCCCAAAGTGTGGTCCAGGGACACCTGGGAGCCCCTGAGACCCTTTCAGGGGATCCATGAGCTTAAAACAATTTTCACAATAAAACTAATATGTCTTATGGTAAATATCAAGAGATGTAGCGCACATAACCAAGAGCTCTTTGGGATCTTCAATAATTTTTAAGAGTGTAAAGGGGCAAGAGGCTGGGGGAACAGCTAGGTGGCACAGTGGATAAAGAACCAGCCCTGGAATCAGAAGGACCTGAGTTCAAATCCAGCCTCAGACACTTACTAGCTGTGTGACCCTGGGCAAATCACTTAACCCCAATTGCCTCCCCCTCCAAAATAAAAAAAAAGAACACAAAGAGGTCCAGAGACCAAAACTTTTGAGAATTTCTGGTTTAGGGTATTGATCACTATTCTGGGCATCATTTTTTAGGAGGAACATTAAGAAGTTGGAATGTGGCCAGAGGCAGGTGGCAAGGATGTTAAGGAGGCTCATGATTTTGAGGAATTGGTATTTTTAGCTCAGGGAAGAGAAGTCTCAAGAGAGACAGAGTTGCCACCTTCGATTATTTTATGGGCTGTCGTATGGAAAAGAGATTAGACATTTTCTGAGTAATTCCCAGGAGACAAAATTAGAACCAATGGATTGAAATTATAGGGAAGAAACAAAGAGGTGACCTTCCCTGGGTCATGCACTTAGATTAAAAAATTAGACTTAAAAATACAGTTTTGGGGAGACATGGGTAGATAACAGTCCGTATGAAAAATATCTGAGATTTTTAATAGACTGTGAGCTAAAAATGTCAGCCATAATATGAATCAACAGAGTATTACTATAGCCTAAAAGTCTAATACTATCCTAGGTGGCATTTAGAGAGTCATAGTGTCCTAAATCTGGGAGGGAATGGTACTGTTACGGTCTGCCCTCCATGGGCCACATCTGGGAGGGCTGCATTCAGTTCTGTCCAGGACCTAGAGAAACTGGAGTGGGACCATAATAGGGTGACTGGGATGAACATCATGGAAAGACTGGTGGATTGAACTGTATGTAATCTTGAACCTAGAGAAGACTTAGTGAGGGAAATAAAGGCCTCAAGTAGTTAATAATAATAATAATAGTAATGATAACAATGATGATGATGATGACATTTTTATAGTGCTTGTTATGTGCCAGGCACTGTGCTAAATGCTTTATAATTGTTACCTTATTTAATCTTCACAACAACTCTGAGAGGTAGGTACTATTATTATCCCTATTTTATAGATGAGAAAACAGAGGTTAAGTAATTTGCTCAGGATCACACAGCTAGTGAGTTCTGGAGTCTGGTTGGAACTCAGGTCTTTTTGACTCCTGGTCCGGCCTGAGGGCAGAATTAATAGCAAAAGATGAAGAGTTTAAGAAAGGTAGCTTTAGTTTTGATATAATGAAAAAGAAAAAAAAGAAAAAAAAAGGGCAGCTTAGAGTACCGGTTCTAGAGTCAGGCGGACCTGAGTTCAGATCTGGCCTTAGACAGTTACTAGCTGTGCGACCCTGGGCAAGTCACTTAACCCTGATTGCCTCCAAAGGGGGAAAAAAGATATAATGAAAGACTTATAATTTAGAGTGGTATAAAATTGGAACAGGCACCTTGCAGGTCTCCAGGTGGAGAGTGCAGGACCACTTGCTGGAAATGTAGAGGGAGGGTCCCTGCTTCTAGTATGGGTTGAACTGGATGGCCTCTAAAATCCCTTCCAAATATGACATTTTGTGATTGTCGGAGAAGCAGGTATTATCTTATGGTGGAGGAGCAGTATAAATCTAGGGAGTCTAGTTTTCTGGATAAGTTTCTGTGTTTGTGTTACTCTGAATTTTGTGTATCACTGGGAAGAGTCTCATGTATTGGGCTGTGCTGTGAGCTGCTTGAGATCTTAGATATGGATTACCCCAAAGGGCTGGGCAGTGAGGATGCTGTTTCCAAGGCCAGCAACAGCTGAATTGATGAAATCTCCCGAGTCCTTCCATGCTTATTCTCTCAGAGAGGTCTATGTCAGAGGCTCTAGTACCCTGCCACCAAAGGCCAAAATTAGAGAGAAAGTTGCCTCTCACTATTCTCTTTCTTTTTTATAGAGTTCATCTCCCAAACCGTGACTGCTCGGCCTAAACCACGAACCACCACCAAGGCCCCACGACGGAGCAGCTCCACCGCAAGGCCCACACCTTCCACCCCAGACTGGGCCGAGCAGATTTTGCAACTTCTCCGAAGCCGCTCAGTGACCCCCACAACACCTATTTTGAGTCCAACTCGGAGGCCTTCTGGGAGGAGAAGTGGGAGGAGGAAAGGAAGGCCAACTACAGCCCCCACACCTCCCCGGAATGGCACTGTTCGATTGCTCAACCACCAATCCCCAGGTCGGGACCGGGGCCGAGTGGAAATCTATGTGGGCAGACGGTGGGGCACTGTCTGTGATGACATTTGGGACTCCAAGGCTGCAGCTGTAGTCTGCCGCCAGGTAGGCTTCCCCTATGCGGTCAAGGCAACCAAGAGGGCAGAATTTGGCGAGGGACACTCCCTGCCCATCCTCCTGGATGATGTTCGCTGCACAGGGCAGGAGAGAAACCTTCTAGAGTGTTCACATGCTGGGGTTGGCAAACACAACTGTGACCACAAGGAGGATGCAGGAGTGATATGCAGCCATCAAGACCCTGACCTATAGACTTATGTGGGTGGCTCTGGAGCATGATGCTAAGGGCATGATAGGGGCAGGAAGAGACGGGTTCTGGGGAGCCCATCTCTCTCCCCCACCAAGTGGCCTTGTGGGCTCCATTTTGCACTGTGCATGTGTACGATGTATATGTGTGCACACATGGGCACATGTGTGTATTCGATATCTTCCTTCCTTCCCTCCTTCCTCCCTCCCTCTTTCTTTCTTTCTCTTCCTTCCTTTTTCTTTCTTTCCTTTCCCTTCCTTTCCTTTCCTTCCTTTCTTCGTTTTTCTTCTTTCCTTTCCTTTTTCCTTTTCTTTTTTTATCTACTTTCTTTCCTTCTTCCTTCCTCTCTCCCTTTCCTTTTCTTTCTTTCTTTTCTTGTTCTTCCTTCCTTTCTTCCTTCTTTTCTTTTTCATCTTTCTTTTTCTTTCTTTCCTTTCTCTTCCTTTCCTTTCCTTCCTTTCTCTTCTTTCCTTTCCTTTTTCCTTTTCTTTTTTTACCTACTTTCTTTCCTTCTTCCTTCCTCTCTCCTTTTTTTTTCTTTTCTTGCTCTTCCTTCCTTTCTTCCTTCTTTTTTCATCTTTCTTTTTCTTTCCTTCTTTTCTCTCTCTTCCTTCCTTTTTCTTTCTTTCTTTCCTCCTCTTCTAAATACTCAGAGGAACAGCAAGGCAAAATTTGGAGAGTTAGTGCTCATTGCTCAGGTTTGTGCAGGTACAGAGTTAGAGTGACTTGTTTTCTTTGGCTATGTGATTAGAAGGCCAGTGTCTGGAGTGACAGCGATAAGGATCCTGATGTCTTCTGCCCTGTTTGTGCCATATGTGGGATATTGTGCTCAGCTCCATCCATTTTAGGAAGGATGGATCTAATCTATCAAACTAGAGTGAGAAAAGGGTGACAAGAATGGGAACTGGAGACCAGGCCAAATGAGGAACTGTTGAAATAACTGTAGGTGGTTAGTATGGAGAAGAAAAGACATGGGGAGGCATGATTGCTTTCTTCAAATATTTAAGGATCTATTATAAGAAAGAGGAAGAAGACAAGTTCTCTGTGACTCCAGAGCTTAGTGCACTGCCTGGAACACAGGCTTGCCGATTGTCTGAGTGTTGACAGACTCCAGAAAACAGAACTGAAAGTAATGGGTGTAAGTGCAGAAATGGCAATTTTGGTTCACTATCAAGATCATTTGGTTCAATATTAAGATAAATCCTGTTAATTGAAGCCATCCAACAATGGAATGGGGTGACTTCTGAGATAGTGAACTCCCCATAACTGGAGATGATTCGAACAGAGACTAGATAGGCATCTGTTAGGGATGCTGTAGAGGACCTTTAATTCAATTAAGCAAATCATTTGTTAAATGCCTGCTCTGCAGGGCACTGGGCTAAATATTGGAAATATGAGGACAAAAATGAACAGTCCCTGCTCTTAACATTCTATTGGAATTCTCACATTAGGTAGGAATCCTTGTTAGTCCTACAGTTCTTTGAATGTGACTCCCACATTCAAAAAGCTCTGATCAAGTATATGGAACCAGAAGTTACTGGGAACAAACTGGATTCCTCTCTGTGTCACCTCTCTGTGCCTCCATTTCCTCATCTGTAAAATGAGTGGATTGGTGTATAAAGTCCCTTCCAGATCTAAATCCTACAACCCTATAAATCAAGTAGCTCCAGGCCCTACCCATGAGCACTGACCAACTAAAGCAGTCATAACTTCATAGCTTAGAATGTAAACTCATTTCAAGTAGGTATTGTTTAGTAGGCACTTAATAAATACTTGCTGATTGGTCGATTGATTGACTGGTGGTTCTATGAGCTTCTTCTGTCCTGTGAGTGAAAGTTACCCATATGAGGTGGACTAAGTTTGGCAAAGAGGCAAGGGGGATGGTTTCTCTCTTCCCTAATACAGGCCCTTACCACACGAGTCATACTTTTTTTTTCTTTACCATTCCTGAAGTCTTAGATTCAGCTTCAGGAACTATTGGGTAGGACAAGCACTACAGGCAATCTGGAGTTGTTTTGTGATCTTGAGTACTTATTCAAGTATTATTCACTTAATCACTTCTCTAAACTCCATTTTCTCATCTTTCAAGTGAAAGAATTAGACTAAATGATATAACTCTAGCAGTCTATGACTCTATGATTCTGAGGTTGCAACCCACTCGATAGTCTATTTTATGATTCCAAGGCCCCCCTCTGACTGACATTCTAAAGTCCTACAGAGTATCAGAAAGGGGAGGGATTATTGGGTGAAGTGTTCCTACCTTAAATGCTGTATGAATAAGGGTCTGTGGGAGCTACTATACTTGTACTGTCCCCAGTGAACCAGCACCCCTTGGAATCCAGTTAATACATCAACAAATACTTATTAAGTACCTACTATGTAACAAGTGCTGGAGATAGAAATACAATAAATGAAACAATCCCTACTTGGAAGGAGATGAAATTCTAGTAGAGAAGATCTACTTACTCCAGGGAAAGGAGGAGAATAATCAGATTAACTTGAGAACCTGGCTTTTTGATGACAACTCCTCAGGTGTGCAATCATCATACAGGCTTCCTGAAATCTGCCATAGAACCATTGACTATTACCGATGAACAACATAACAACAATATAGTAAGCATGTACTGTATGCAAAATACTTTATAAGGTATTGGAGGAGATACAAAGTTTAGATAAAACTTGGCCCATGGCTACAAGGAACTAACATGTCTGGTAAGGGGATTAGAAGCATATCTATAGTTCGCACCTTCAGCTTTAAGGATCTGTAATTTGCGGGGGGTGTATTCCCTCTACCACTGTGGATCTCATTAATTGATGATTTTCATGAGTTGCCATGTCTAAAAATGCATTATTCTGTGATGAACCCAGTTCTTTGCCTCTCTGAAAATATATCATTACATGAAAATATATGCATTATATGCATCAGAAACCACAGTAGTATGTGAAATCCACATGGAAAAGGTCGTCTCTGTCTGGGGAATTAGGGAAGGCTTCAGAGAGAAGATAACATTTGAGATGGGCTTTAAAGGATGGGTAGGAATTTAACAAGCAAAGATAGAGAAGCCATTCTATGTGTGGGAAATAGCATGAAGACATGAAGGTGTGAGAGATTTATGTGTGTGTGGGTCTAGAGATTTGTCTCATTCTGCTAGAGCATGAGCCTACCTTGGACATCATTTAGCCAGCTGTCTACCTTTACAAAGGACGAAATTCAGCCCCAGAGAAAGGCAGTGACTTGCTCAAAGTTACACAGCAGATTCTAGCACCCAGGATTCCGGACTTTCAGGTTGCCCTCCTCCCCCAGAATATCCAGTCTAAGAAGACCCTGTCCAAATGAGTTTTACATCATATTTTGGCATCTTCTTAGGCCGGGAAACTGAGATGGGTCAATGAATTTCCCCAGGCTCTGATATGGCAGTCTGTCTGTGAGATTGTATAATTGGGCTGTGACCCCAACCAAATGTTTCCCCTTGTCTGAGGGTCCTGCCAACATTTGAGCTGCAGAGAACAGAATGTATTGTGGTCTGGGAAGGGATGTCATCTTTGCTGCCATATTGCAACATGCCCCTAATAAATGCCGAATGCCTGAATTTCTTTGTCTCTTATAGCTTCATTGGGTGCCTTGGTCCTTCTTCTTTGAAAGTATTATAAGCGGGACTAGTAGTAGGTGGCCATTCCATTCTCCATCTCAGAATTAGCTGCATGGATTGATGGACAGGACATTTTGGAGGTGTAGCACAAAACTGACAAAACTGTAAAAATATAAGATCATTACATTCTTGGAGTCCCTTATAGTGAGATCCTTAGACCATCCCTGTGTGGTAGGTAATACAGATATTCTTATCCCCATTTTACAGATGAGAAAAATTTGGCTTAGAAAGGGAAAGTGACTATATTCACACTGCTAGTAAAGGGTGGAGTCTAAACTCAAACCCAGATCTCTGACTCCAAAACCAGCATTCTTAGCACAATACCATGAAGGCTTTACAAATGGTAATGTATCATATGTAAAGCATCTTTTCACCTCCCTTTAGTAATGAATAGCTTCCATTTCCACGGTCCTTTACTGTTAACAAAGCATCTTCCTACATAATAATCCTGCAGTGTAGGCAGGGCAGAGATTATTATAGTTTATAGATGAAGAAAGTGAGGCTTGGAGAGATAAAATGCCTTGCCCAAGGTCACTCAGAGCTGAGATTCAAAACCCAGGGCTTCTGACTTTTTCTAGTGTTCTTTCCACTAACAATTCCTCATCCTCACCTCCAGTAACTAATGCCCTATTTGCCACCCTCTGGTTGCACAGAGACCCTTCCAATGTTATACCTATCCTCTGCTTTCTGTCCCCAGGTAGCACATGCTACTGACCTAATACCACCCAGATTCTCTGTCTTCCCATCCAATGGTCTTTCCACTCCTCTCTCCTGGATTTGTGGTCAAAGCAGCTAAATTCAAATTAACTGCTAGTGTGCCCTTGGGCAAGTCACTGCGGTATAGTGGAAAGCCCTGGATCTGAAGTCAGATTCAAATCTTACCTTTGCCTCTTCACATGCAGTGAAAATTTGTTAATGAGGTATTAAATGAAGCATGCTACATAAAAGATTTTAGGTGTTGTTGAGCTGTTTCTGTTGTGTCCAACTCTTTTGTGACTCATTTGGTGTTTTCTTGGCAAAGATACTGGAGTGGTTTACCATTTCCTTCTCCACTAAGTGTGACTAGTTTTAAGTAACTTTTCAGATATGTTATTGAACTTGTCGTGACTAAGTTTGAAGTAGAAAGCACTGTTATATTTTCAGTTTTATAATTCCTATTTGGTCCTATATCTGACACACCCTTAATCAGTTTCACATTCATTTCCCAATCCGTGTCATGCTTTTTAAGCCTTTCAGATATTTATTTTTACTGTTGTAAAGTGATGTCACTTGAAATTTTGTTACTGAAATAAACATCTAATTTGATTTGATTATAAGAGCTAAGTGTGACCTTTGGCAAGTCATTTAACCTTCCTCAGTGGGCCTCATCTGTAAAAATCTAAGGATGTTGGACTAGTTGACCTGTCATATTCCTTCCAGTTCAAGATCTGTGATCTTGAGTGCTGGCCTGGGAGACTGAGTATTTCGATTTGTGATGAAGTATTTGCCAGTACAGTTGTCCCTTCCACATCACAGGGGTTGGGACTGTGGCATCCTACCACAAACTGGAAAATTCACA